CACCATTCCTAGCCTGTCCCATCACTGAGCAAATCCTGGGGAAGGACACATGGTATGTGCAAACTCTCGGTGTCTCGAGTGTGACAAAATCACATAAAACCTACACACTGGGGCTAAGGGAACTATGAGAATTTGAACTTTTACATTTCCTGTCTCTGCAAAGCAAGGTGGTTAGGGGAAATGGGCTGAAATTTCAATGAGTTAATGCTATCTCAAGGAGTCTTAGTGGCATAGTGGTTAATTTCTTGGCTGACAACAGACAGGTTGCAGGTTGGAACCCACCAGTTGCTTTTGAGGGAGAAAGATGTGTCAGTTTACTTCTGTAGCAACTGACAACCTTGGGAATCCTATGGGGCAGGCAGTTCACTGGGCAGCTTGGATTAGGATTTGGTGCCCATGTTAGCTCACACCAGGTTTCTGTATTTTACATTCCTAGAAAACCAGAGTGGGAGATTCTTGAGGAGTAAAGCCAAGACAGGAAACTGACCTTTCTGGGCAGTTTGCAACAACTGAATGCCAAGTGCCAAGGGAAAACAGGCGGTCTCAAAGGTCAAAAGACTTTAATCATAATTGGTCAGAATGATTCCTGTTGGAATTTTGGGGAAAGATTTAGGTTATAAGACCTTAAATTATATCAAAACTTGAAATCACTCTTTAAACTTATATGGTGCTGTGTGCTAATGCGTCAGACTGCAAAGTCGTTTGAACTGCAAGGTCGGCGGTTCAAGCTCACCAGCTGCTCCTTGGAAACCCTCTATAGGGTCGCTATGGGTCGGAATCGACTTGACGGCACTTAACAACAACAACAAGCTTAAAACAGTAAGTAATACTCTTTCCTAAAATTCATTTTGTCATTAAATATAGGAACCCTCAGCCCTCAGAAATTCACTATGATTCCTACTGTTTTGGTCAGCTAGGGCATTGCAAACACTTCTAAACATCCACATGGCTGATGGTACTACAAAGTAAGGTTCACTGGCCTGCACCTGTCAATTTTGTTGGTAACGAATCCAGGTGATCTGTGGTGGGTCACATGGTGCGAACAGTGAAGTGTTCCACCTGTAAGCTCTAGGCTAAGAGTTTGATTATGTCATGAACTCATGTTCATCATTAAAAACTTTAATGTCAGGCTTTACAGTGAAATACTTGTAACAGGGAAGGAGAAACTTAAGCTATTTAATACGCTGCCTCTCAACATATATTGAGTCCATCCAACGTTGCAAAGGGAACTCCATGATCTCCAGAAAACTTCACCAGAGCAAGAAACAGTTATAGAATCGTGGACTGTTAAGTGGTTGTTAGGAGACGCTGTGTTGGTTCTGACTCACAGCGACCTTCTGCACAACTGTGTTTGAGCCCATTGCTGCTGCCACTGTGTCAGTCCATCTCATTGGGGTCTTCCTCTCTTTCACTGCTCCTCCACTTTTCCAAGCATAATGTCCTTGTCCTGGGACTGATCCATCCTAACAACATGCTCCAAAGTATGAGAGATGAAGTCTCCCCATTCTGGTTGGACTCTTCCAAGACAGATTTGTTGATTCTTCTGGCAGTTCTTAGTACTTTTAAGATTCTTCTCTAACTGTAACTCAAATATATTAATTCTTCTACAGTCTTCCTTATTCATTGTCCAACTTTCATATGCAGATGAGGCGACTGAAAATGCTATAGCATGGGCGCACCTTAGTCTTCAAAATGACGTCTTTGCTCTTAAACATTTTAAAGAAGTTGAGTGGTCGTTTGATTTCTTGACTGTTGCTTCTATGAGCACTGGTTGTATATTCAAGCAAAATGAAGTCTTTGACAACTTCTCTCCTGGTGTGGAATGTACGGTTGTTTTGAACTCCAAGGTCAGTGGTTTGAACTCATGAGCTGCTCCTCTAAAACCCTAAACAGGGTCTTCTATGATTCGGAACAACAAGAACTCCGTTTACCATGATGTTATTCATCTGTCTAGTTGAGCGGATTTCTGGTCTCTATACATTGAGGTGCAATCCATACTCTTTACATTGAAGGCTGTGGTCTTAGATCTTGGTCAGTAAGGGCTCCAGTTCTCTTTCCTTCCAAAGGACGAAGCAAGGTTGTGTCATCTGCCTATCTTAGGTTGCTGAGTCTTCCTCCAATTTTATTTCTGAATTCATCAACAAGTAACAAAAGCTTACACACACGACTACGAGCAAAGCGCTCAACAGGCGAGCACTGCCTTTGGTGAGTTCTGGTCTCGACTTCCTTTTCCAACCGAAATAAGGCAATTAGACTGTTGTAGGACCTCAGACGAAAGACGATCAATCTTCATTGACCCTAAACAGCAGCATGAACTCTTTGTCTGAAGTCGTTTTATTCATTTACCTCAACGTTTAAGCTGTAGCCACTACCCAAAAGACAAGAACCTGAATACCAGTCCACATGCTCATCCTGATGCCAAGAAGGCAATAAAAACATACACTGTAGACTTGCTGGTTAGAGAGAACAAGCTCAGATATTATGGGTCAGCACTCTGACACTAGGGGCTGGCTGTGATTTGCTGGTGTAGATGGAAGGCTTGTTTGTAGGAGAGAGGACTTGAATGATTCACTGGAGTTCATGCCCTTTGTCCCCTTACCTTTTGACACAAGCACATTTTCTAAAGGCACTGAGATAGGCCCTTGAGCACCAAGACTTTTTATTTCAACTACTTCTTCTGCAACTCTCAAAATGTACTAATGCACTTTTGAAAGTGCTTTGAGCCATAGAAAACACATTCACAAATTAGATCTCATCCCAAAACATTCCTGAGGGCAGGCACTTTTTTAAAAGGATGAGAGCACCACTGCGGTTTCGTAGTAGGTTAAAATGACTTAGCCGAATGAAGACACCCATTCCGCATCTTCTTGCTGCGTGGCCTCGTGCTTGCTTGTCTGCGGCGCAGGACAGCTCAGCATAACTCTGGACTCGGTCAGTCGGAGTGTTCATCACCATGGGTTGGCTGCTGGTGGAGTCCCCAGAGCAATGTAAACACAGGTAGCTAATACACTTACAATCGGGTTCTTCTATAGGTATAGACTAGCTCCATTGTATGTTAGAACCTCAGCTTGAGATGAGGAAAGCAACCATTCTAAAAATATCCACTAAAACCATTGGCCAGGAGACTGCTGTGATCTTTGGAGAAAAGCAGTGGCTCACTTCCTTCCGTATGCACCATGCCCTTCCAACCACTTCTGTTTCTCGGCACGACTAGTAACCAAGGAAGTTCTCTAATGCTCCTTCCCCTGTGTGTTAGCCTAGAGTGTTCATTGATTTTTCTAGTGGTCCTAGTACTCTCTTTTCCACCATCCTCAATTTTCAAGATTCATCTTTCTGGGATTTATCAAAAGTTAGTGTAGCAATACAGCCCTTGGATTGGGTGTTTTTGCCACCATTTCTACCTACTCTTGCCTTTTCCTGGGCTAACTCTATGCCACCTGCCCTCTGCCTGCCTTCCTCTATGCCAGTTGGCCTGGTTCGAACCCCACACCTTTAATCAGGTTGAAATTACAAAGTTAATGCATAGCCTGTGATCTCTCTGCCACCCAGCAGTGAAAAGTCAGGGCCGGATGATAGGTCTATATTTAATTACTTCCAGGGAGGCAAGGTATCATTAGGACTTAGGATTACGGTTTAGATGCCATGTGACTGGAGGGCCAAGAAGGATGGTCCTGGCCAGTGGGTGGCCACCCAAATTCACATCCAAATGTATGCATTTCTCCAGCAGCATGGCACCAAACAGCATCCCAGTGAGTCCCCTGTCTTAGAACTCCAGAGCGCAGTACAATGCCAGCATGGGATCAGAGGCAGGCAGGCTCAGCTGCTCTCCTCCTGCCTGGCCTCACAGCCCATGGGGTCAAGGCCATGTTCTAGGTAAAGTCAGGGGTCTCCAGAGAAGACCCAGACAGGGCCACACTCATGAATCTCTCTTTGAGCATCATCAACAAATCAGGATGGCATCAAGGAAAACGAAGACCAGCGTTTCCTCAACTAGAAAGATTCACCTCTTCAGCTCAGACAGGCTTTAGAACTGCACTGTCCCAGGCCGAGACACCTCATCTCCCATGGCTAACAAGCTTCTGGCCAAGTGCTGGTCTGGTGGAGACGTGTTTGCAGAGGAGCATGGACACCGGACACTGAAGACAATGCGAAAGAGATGCAAATGAGCTCACTGCTAGTCTTTATATTGCATCATGGTGAAATGATAACATACTGAATATATTGGGTAGAAAATAAAATTTTTTATTAAATTAAATTTTAAAAACATTATTAAAATTAATGTCCCCTGCTTCTTTAGCTTTTTAAATATTACTACAAGGAATCCTTATAATGCACTGGTTACACACTCAGCTGCTAACTAACCCAAAGGTCAGCAATTCCAACCCACCAGCCACTCCCATCCTGGACCCAGACCAAGTCCTTCCTCCTTATGCTTGGGGTCCTGGTGTGGAGCCATAGGACAAGCACTGGACTACGAACCACACGGCTGATGGTTCAAACCACCAGCCACTCCTTGGAAACCCTATACAGGGTCGCTATGAGTTGGATCAGACTCAAAAGCACTTAACAACAACAACAACAACATGAAAATCTAAAATTCTATCAGTGGCTTGCGTCTGTGTTTCACATCATGTTTCTATTGGACAGGCTGATTTAGACAAAACCCAATAAGTTCTTTAAGGGCTAGATTCTAGAGAAAGGAAAGGCATGTGAATGGTCTGGTTTGAGGTACCCTTTTTGAAAACTAGAATATCCCATAAACACTCTATTAGTCTTCCCACACAAGGGGACTGAACAAACAGTACAGTACATGGCACAGTCCTGGGACCAGCCTGGCCAAGTCCTTGGCTCCTGGGCCCACAGCCTCTGCTGTAAGGCAGGGCGTGTGCCAGGGCATCAGGGACCCCATCACATCTCCTACCTTCACAATATTTTATTTGCTTTACTTTATGCTTTTTAAAATATCTGTAATAATACAGGGTATAAAAAAACAAACTTACAGGTTTTGAGACGGTGAATCTGCTGCTAGGATGCACAGGTATTTAACTCCCTGTAGAATGATAAAAATAAACAAGTAAGTAAAATAAATGATACGCAGTGAAGGAAAATATTTGAAGGAAGTATTTTACTCAGGTCGAAAAACATCAAGAAATAAAAAGGAGAAGTTTTTCACTAGTCTTTTGTTGCCAAGGAACTGGAGGAAAACTAATTAAGGTTTCTGGTCATGGAAACCACGATCATGCGTACAAACTACTCAAACTCTAGTTTGTCAACAGTTTGTAGGTTTAGTCAAAATTCAAGGGCGCATCTAAAACTGACAGAATTGACTGCTTTTCAGTTAAGTGTCAACAAGTTCCAATATCAGCACCTGAGAAACGTGTTCACTGTCTTTGTTTCACCCACTTAGGATGCAGAGTGACCAAAATTAAGTCCTCTCTGTAAGTCTCAACAGATGACAGCCTTCTGTTGCAGTATCTATATCAAGTTTGGTTCGATTGCAGCCACGGTGTGCCATGCACAATGTAAGCAACCTGCTTCATTTTTCTTGTCAGGAGAGTAGAGTTTGTATACCAAACGATGTTATTTTTTAAAAGAATGGCCCAATTTCTTTTAAAGGGGGCAGAAACTTAATACAGTCCTCTAAAATTCTGTACAAAGGTTTATATGAACTCATGCTATAAAAACCCATAGCATGAGTTATAAAACTCACACTGAATTCGAGTTTTATAAAAAGCAAAACAAAACAAAAAACCGAGTTGTTCCTCCTTTGCTGTTGTTGTTGCGAAGTGCCGTCGAGTCAATTCAGACCCATAGCGATTCTGTATCGGGTTTCCAAGGAGTGACTGGTGAGCTTGAACCACTGACCTTGTGGTTCAAACAACTTTGCAGTCCAGCACATTAGCCCACAGTGCCACACCAGGGCTCTGTTCTTCCTTTGGAGGGATTTATAATTTTTAAAAAGCCTTAAATGTCAAGTAAATAGGCAAATTTTAATAATCTCAGTAACTGTGCAACTGAATAAGAAGAATTAAATAAATTAAATATGAAGAATTAGATGAGTTCTTTATGAAGATGAATTACCTGCAAAAGCCAGACTCTGTGTAAGGTAGAAACCTGCCAGAGAAGGAAAACTCAAATGTTTTCCACTAAAATGAGCAATAAGAAAGTAGTAAGACTGCACCCAGTCAGAGAAACTTAGAAGTCCAAAAAAACAAAGATGTCCCAATGAGTCTGGCTCTCCCAAGTTTCACAGCATTTTTAAACGTTTCCTCTCGGAATCTCACAGAACCATGTGCCATAGACAAAAGTGGGAGAAAACACATCAGAAACTAGAAAAAGAACTCACCTGCCTTAGCTATCTAGTGCTGCTACGACAGAGATACCATAAGGGAATTGTTTTAAGTGGAAATTTATTCCTCCACAGTTTTGAGAGGCTAGAAGTCTGAATTCAGGGGGCCAGCTCTAGGGAAATCCTTTTATCTCTTTCAGCTCTGGGGGAGGGTCCCTCAACATATGTAGGCCCAGCGTACCTTGGAAATCCTTAAGTGTCTTGACTTTAATCTTTTCTCGGTCTAGAAGGTTTGCAATGCAGGGACTCCAGGTCCAAATGACATGCTCTACCCCAGCTCTCTCTGGGTGATACTGAGGTCCTTTCTCCCTCCACTGATCTCTTTCAAATAACGGCCCAATTTTATTTTTTTTAAGTTTTTATTGTGAATTGAGTGATAGTGAATTGAGTGAAGGTGATGCAGGGCACACCCCCGAGTAACTCCCCTTACATCAGATCAGGGCTGTGACCTGAGTAAGGGTCTTACATCCCATCCGAGTCCCCTGACAGCTGACTGGCTGATGACATCAGATCACATCATGGGAGATGATCACAGCATTCCACAACTGCTAGTCTACTCAGAGTTATGGCCCAGTCAAGCTGACACAGAGTTTTGGAGAAACAATTAGATCCGCGGCATAACTTCATCGAGTACATTGTCCATTGCCTCTGTAAAATGGATGATTGTGATTGGTTGTGTGCTGTGGAGGCGGTTCTGACTCACAGCGACCCCTGTATAGGATTTCTGAGCTCTAAATCTTTCTAGGAGCAGAAAGCCTCACCTTTCTCTTGTGGAGCAGCTGGTAGATTCAAATTGCTAACCTTTCTGTCGGCAGTTCAACACGTAACCCATGACGCTACCAGAGTTCCTTGTACGATGGATGATATCTTATAAAAACAGCTTGTCTTGAATTAGTTAAAAACTTTTTATAGTTAATCGTTCAGTTTTTACTGTTAAGTGACATCATTTCTGTGCTGTATTTGCTAATTGTGGCTGCTCCAAATCCTTCAACACTTCTCCACATGTTGATAGCGCCCACTTCACGTAAATGATGTTCCCATCCTCCCTTGCTTTGGGTGTAGATTCCTGACTTGGTGTCACCAACCCTGCACACCTATGCAAGACTGATTTGGAAGCATTATGTTAGTAGGGTAGACAGCTATTGGTGCACTATCTTTCCCTTAGTCAGGTATTGGATGAGTTTGAGGACAGGTCCTGGAAGCTAGCTCAAATAGCCCATTTCTTCAGCTCTTCTGAGGAAAGCATCCACTTTCAACTTTCTCCTCATAAATCCCTTCCTGATGAAACTGGCTCAGCGTGGAATCTTGTCTGCAGCGAAGAACTGAGGGATACAATTCCCTTTCCCATCGCCCACCATTATGAAAAGTCAGAAGCAGCCCTGTTTCCCGAACGTTCTCTATTTTTTCCAGGTTTGAGTCGATCATTATACCTCCCAACACAGCCTTCTTTGGGTCTTTAAGCAAGTGAGTTTAACCACTGCTCACTATATTGGAGCACTTTACACATCGGTCTTTAACCATGCCAGTAGCTAAATCCAAGGAGTAGCTGGCACAAGTGCACAATGAAAGAACAGATACTCTCCCATTCAAATTCCACTTGGCTGTTTCTAGTTGCCTCCTTCCTGTTTGTCCCTAATTCTTCCTGGTCTGGGAAGGGAATGTTTGGAGTTCTAAAGCATCTCCCTGCGCAGATGCATTCAAAGGAAACTGAAAAGGAAACATTACTGTAAAAAAAAAGTCTACTTACTTTTACCTTGCATCTACATGGATCATCTTTTAACTAGACCACATTAAAATCACTCAATATTCTTTTTCACTCAAATAAGAGTTGGCAGTGAACCAGGTCTCCTCGGCTTGTGAAATCCCTTCCTGTCCACATGCTTCCTCCAGGGCCTTTGAGGCCAGTCCTTCCAGAGGGACTGAAGAATTCACTGCTTCCCACTTACCTTCCACTACGATCTCTAGCCAGAGCTTTTATGCCCATCAAGAATGCTGAAGAAATTCCCTGCAGTGTGGGATGAAAACTACTGCTGCCTTCATGTTCTTCTACTGGAGTCTAAAATCAGCCTGGTCCACATATTGGGAGCAAAGGAAGAGGAGGACCAGCTGGGAAAATTGCTTACTAGCCGCTGAGAGCCCAATGGAGTGATTGATGGACGAGGCTCTGCTCACAGCCCCTTTGAGGGTTTCAGCACACAATGGTCATGGCGGAAGGCTAGCTGGCTAGGTCGACCTGCAGATACACTTATGGCCTAAAGTCTTTCTTCGCCCACCAGCTGGAAGGGGTGTGGTGGCTATAGTCATCTGTGGGGAGACAAGGGAATTTCTGACAAGTACAGGGACCTCTGCTATGAAGGTAGTGAAGAGAAAATAAAAAACATAAACTAAGATCACGTCTCTCAAAGCTGCAATAATAACGATACATCAACTTCCCTAGAAAAATGCCTTGTATACAGTAGGCACTATCTGTTGAATGATGAGACCATGAAGTCACGTTAGAATATGTGATGGAAAAGCACTGTACTAAGGCACACCCAACCCTGGTGAGCCCCGACCTGAGGGCTGGACAGATGAGGGCTGGGTGCGGGCAGCAGCTCCTGACGGTCCACTCAAATGGGACACATGTAAAAACCAACTGAGACTGAGCGGCAACAAGAATGGAACGAGTTATGTAAATCAGTAAACAGAAGAGTCAAAACTGTCGAAAGAGCTCAACTGCTCACCACCTAAAAGCATTTATTTATCTTGGCTTAGTCATTAGCAAAGCAAAAAAAAAAAAAAAAAAAAGTTCTTCAAGTTACAGACTAGAGAACGAATGCTTACCTAAAATAGGGTTTCCAATGCCTGCCCACTCATACCGTTCAGGAAAGCTAATTACTAATTCAGAGAGCAGCAAAGATGAACAGAAGGAAGGACTCCCATGTCACAAGTTGGGCAGACTTCAAAGGATCTCAGCATAATGGAGAAGGAGGGTCAGGAAAAAGAGGAAGCCCCCCAATGAGATGGACTGACAGAGCAGTGGCAATAATGGGCTGGGAGAGCCCCCTTTGTGAGGATGGCGCCGGCCCGGGCAGCTGGGCTCTACTGTGTGGAAAGGGTCTCGGGATCGGAACCGACTCAACGGCACCTCACAACAAGCACTGGATTGAGATCTGCAAATGTTTCAATGGATGTGGAATGAATTTTTCATCCAATACTATCTAAATGAATAAAGCATCACTCTATACAGGGTTGCTAGGAGACGGAACCGACTCAACAGCACATAACAACAACAACAAAAAAGACTTTAGTGTTGAGGTGTAGGGACAAAGATAAAAAATAGGATATGCTTACCTAAATTATGGACAGCATACTTAAAGTGAAAAAATATATATAAACAATAGCAAAACAATTGGGAATAATCTGGAAATTTCAAAAGTAATAAAAATAGTAGCAATATTTCCATGACTAAAGTATTTTGTACATGGTACCTGGCTCTGGGGTGGCACAGTATGATAAGCACTCAACCACAAGGTCGGCTTGAACTGCAAGGCTGGTGGTTCAAACTCTCTAGCCACACCTTGGAAACCCCTATACAGAGTCTCTATGAGTCAGAACCAACCCAACAGTACTTAGTAACAAGAGCAACATTTACTTCGTCACGTGATTGCTAATATTAAAAGCAAAAGACAAAAAACAAAATTGGTTACCTTCCCCTTGAA